CCGCTTTCCTGCACAGTCTTTGCATGCTGGTGAGAGTGAAGGAACCCTATTCCGATCCGGTACATATCACCAGTGGTGTCCCACAAAGCTCCGTCCTAAGCCCCGAACTCTTCAACATATTTATCAACGATCTACCATCTGAGCTTCGCTCGGGTTTCTTGATTTATGCGGTTGATTTGAAGGCATGCAAGGGGCATCCTCTCTAGCGGATGCTGCTCGACTGAAAGGGACGCTTGATGTTTTGCACAATTGGTCGATACAGTGGTGCTTACGCATTAACCAAGTCAAATGTACCGTCCTGCCTATCGGCGCCCCTGAACCATTCGGTGCTTGCCACGTAGGTGGTTTCTTACTCAAAAAGGTCACTTCAGAGAGAGAGCAAGGCGAGATTGTTTCCCCGGACTTAAGGTCCACTCCGAACACCAAGAAGAGGATTGCCTCTGCCTACAGAATGTTTTGCACCATCTGAAGAGCATTCTGTCACCAGACGCCGGAGATTTAGCCTCCTGTTCACCTCGCAAATGCGCCCGATTCTAGAACACGGCCTCCCTGCGGCCCACCCGCTTTCCAACTTCGAGCGCGACATGAGTAAAAAGGACCAAAGGCGTGGATCGAAGTTTGTCTCCGAGTTACGTTACCTGCCTTCTCCACTTCGACTTCGACATTTGAATAGCTTTTCCATGGATTACCGTCGACGGTGCGGGGATTTGATTTTTACCTGTCGTACCCTCAGGGGTCGGCTAGAGAGAGTTGCGGGAATGCTTCCACCCCAAAATTGGAAGTTTGCCTAGAGGCCACCGGTGGAAAATATTCAGAGCACGAAAGCTTAATGTACGTTCCTGCTCCATTTACTCGCTATATGAACCATTGAAACCGGTTACCGCCGCCCGTAGCTGATGTGCAGACGGTTTTACTTCAAACGGCTACTTGATTCCCAGCTGTTGGATATGCCGGGCGCGTGTTGCTACGGCTACGTGTGCGATGGCCTCTCCGGAGTTCCCTTTGCGCAATGACGAGCATCCCAGCAATGATCGGGAAGCGATGGAGCTGAAAAGGGATCTCCATCCTGGCGGTGTACTGATGAAGCCCCGCGAGCTAAGTGGCGTCATAGTGAACAAGTTTAAACCTTCCGCACAGTGTTGCCTTGCTGCCAATAAAGCACGACAAGAGACATTGCGCCTTAGGAGGGCGCTGAGCAACACTAAAACAGAAGTATTCTTGCGGTTATATAACGCAGTGGCTAGGCCCTATCTGGAGTATTATGTTCAGGCCTGGGCACCGTACCTCAGCATTGCAACCATGTGTATAGAAAAGATTCAGAAACTTGCGACGAGGATGCTCGAAGGTCAACGAGGGCAGTCGTACGAAGATCGTCTAAGTAGCTTGGGATTATTTTCCTTGGAACGGCGCAGATTGAGAGGGGGTTTGATATAGACGTTTAAGATCATTCAGGGACTTAGTGGCATTAGTCCCACCCATCAGTATGAGTTAAATATGTCAGACCAACAGCGTGGGCATCGCCTGAAGCTAAAACAACATAGAGCTTGTTTTGACATCGAGAAAATTTTTTTACGAACCGGGTAGTTAACATCTGAAATAAACTTCCTTCTGATTTGGTGGCATGTGAGTCTTTAGGAGCCCTCAAATGGGGCTTAGACGAATGTTGGTCCATGCTTTTTCCAGAGAGATGGTAATGGTATTGAAGTATGTACCCTGGCAGCACATGTCCAGGTCCTGTCCAGTTTAGCATCCTAAACGTTCCTATGAGAGCATTAGGCTAAACTGGACAGGAAGTATTACCGTGAGACGGGTAAAAAGGGTTCCTGTCCAGTTTAGGTTGCACCAATGATGATGATGCTAGCGTTGACCAATAGAAATTCACCACTATGCGTGACAATCCGGCTGGTCCAGATCCCGTCATTGCCTCCCATGGGTATCCGAATACGGACAACACACTTGAACGCACTATGCGCCCAACGAATATATGGACGGCTCGGACCTAGTTTTCACCCGGTACCGGTTGCGGTAGTTTCTGGACTTGGGAACCCACCTAGGCGGCGACTCAAAGCTGTTGGTCAGAAAAGGAAACCGCTCTTACCGCGCACCTGACATCACAAGACGCAAGAAAATTAAAACCGAGGTATAGGAATTCTATATATACATGAAGGGGTGCAGTTCAAAGAACGTTAGTAGCAGAAAGCGGCATAGTCAATATTCTTAATCCGCTTCCGCGAGTGTCAACGTAGGAGGCTAAAGATGTGCCCAAGGGAGCAGGGGACTCACCTCATTCGCATTGCATACTTTAGTTTGCTCAACCGGCGGTATTTTGTGCCGTGCAGAATGCAACCACGTTTTGATGTGCCGTGTAATGTCAGCATCCGAGGCTGCGTCACCCATGCGTTGCCGAATGAGGCCTTGGTAGTTTTTCTGGATTACTGCATTTCAACCTACCTTGTACAAGGCGTTCATATTTGTTCGCCTGAATGCAAAGGAACTTCTAGCGCCGGAGTAATTGATCTCCGCGGCAACTGATCTTGTCATTAGCCGCTCCATGGTACCCGGACGATGAGTTGTATGTTATCACCGTGCACAGCACATAAATGGTTGACCTAAAGTAGTTGAATAATAAGACGAACCTACGACTCTGATTTTGAAATCGGGGTCCTTCAGCCGTTCATCATATCTCTTTAGCTCACTGAGAGGGATGAATGGCATAGATAGTCCCGGCGCAACACTTTGGGATTGTCGTTGTAGCATTTGCAACATAGCTTCGGACATGCGGCGATGGCCGACCAATTCTGATCGAATGAGACACAACTCATCTAAAAATAAGGCTGAGTGCAATGCAATACATCTGTGGCGTCTTACATTTTATGGCCTGCAGTTCGTGCAGCACATCCAGATTGCTTGGTGGGACGTCAGCAATAACCGGTGGCGCGATTACTGTTTAATAGGGGCAGTATGGAATCGATACTTACGGTTGCTTGTTGCTGGTCCTGGACGTGACGGACTAATGCCACTGAACAGAGAGGAGGGCGCACGTGCGTAGGTTGCTGCAGAAGGTCTTTTGGTTTTGCTTGGACGCGCGGCATCCTCGTCATCGGAGCCAGAACGGACGGGCCGGCGTCTAAGAGGAAATAAAAAACTCCATACTCACATTGCACGCTTAGCTGGAAGGCCCATGGGAATTGGATCGTCTGTCGATGGCAGCATCCCGCGCTCAGATTGCCGTTTCATTTCTCGGGCATGCTGGAAGCTAACTATCGAGGTGGGTTAATATAAGAGAAATACTTACTCGTGCTAACGATTATGGACACGGCAATGCTGACCACATCGACATCCGGCGCAGTGTGATTTTTCACCGCTGCATAGTAGTGCGTACCCCGCACTGAAGGTATTTGAGCGTACGAACCTTCTTCTCTAAGCCAAGTGTTACTGACAATAGTTATTAAATCCTCGGAGTCAAGGAGTTTGACAACGCTGTATCCTTGAAAAGCCATCATTGCTGAAAAAGAAAGACGTTAGTAGTTAAAGTGTACAACTGTGTGGCATAGGGTAAATTACAAGAAAATCGTTCAAGGGTAAAGCAATGTACTTAAAGAGAATATGACTTGGCAAAAATGGCATCCACGGCTGCACAAAGCACAACAGTAGACGAACAAAAGACGCTGGTACATGAGATTTTGCGGTCAATTTTCTCAAGTTATGTACCAATTCATCCGGATCCCTGTCATCTTCACTGCGGTTGATAACGTGTGCAGGTGGCTGAACTGTGTAAGCAATCATATTTAAGATATGTTAAAGATGCTCTTACCCTTCTGTCCTTTAGCTTCTGAAAACAGAAGCACCTCTTCGTAGTTGAATCCTGATGTCATTCTTTTCGCTGCACGGTAAATGGTGCTACGAGACGGAAACTGTGCAGTTAATTGATAACTTCATCGACGTGACATGCTGAAAAGGAACACCTACGTATCGAACAATGTTTAACCGAAATACCTGATAGGTACACCTGCGGAAACGCAGTTTCAAGGAAGCAAGACAATAGCGCAGTACGGAGCAGTATCAGCGACCAAGGTTACGAAACCGAAATCGGCCAAACAAAAAGACCTGCAGATGCATTTAAACCGCTGGGGTTATGGTCAAATAATAGGAAATATAATGCATATCAACTATTAATTTACTAACAAATGTCAAACTAAATGCCTTTAGCTGCAGGTAATGCAATAATACCTGAAGTGGACATCTGTCCAGTTTATGTCCAGTTTGCTACGTTTAGTGTTACGTTTGTGCTACCAGGGTAGTGTCTTTTCACGGGTTTCACGGGTTTGCGCAGAACGAGTAAGCGTAGCTTTTCGGTGGTTCTGCCTCGGGATCTTACGGCAAGGTCCTGATCTCGTCGGTTGCGCTTGTTCTTGCTTCGTTCCTTTGCAGAAGCAAGAAGTAAATCCAAAGCGAAGTGTCGGGACCGCTTCACTTACCGGCACAAGGAACTGGATGCTCGTTAGGCGAATGCCTCTATCGTCCGTTCTGCCTGACCTGACTTGACCTGACCTCATCTCTACTACCCAATGAACCAATGAATCAAAAAAGATTTCAGTGCAATCGTTGTCGGAATCTTCAGTGCTCCATCAAATAATTCCTCATAGCAAAATTTTTGCAAGGGTTGTATGTACAAGTCTGATGACTGCGCCAGTGTGAAATGGTCGGCATGACATTATTCAGTGGCGGGTCACATCCGCCAAGTCACAGTGTTGCTTAGCGGATATTTGTGGCTGCTTATATAAAGAACTTTTACCAGGCGTAAATTTGCCACGTCCTGGAACACTGCCGTACGTAATTTTGGATAGTAGTGCCAGCTGGCGAAGCATCCCACAGACCGAATTTTCACCTAGTTATTCGCAGTCGTCCGACGTCCAAACTATGGCTTCTTAACCGATTAGCTTAGTCATGAGCCGGCAGTAGTCGTTGAGACTAGTCGATATTGGACGTTGCAAAAGCGTCGTATCGAGTGATGAGACGTGCAGGTGAGTTGTACTATCGAGTTAATAGAGGATGGCTTCTGTGGTATACTTGTCCGGGTTGTGCAGACCATGTCCAGCTATCCACGCTGGGGGTGGTAAGTGCAGTTGGTCCTTCGGTTGAATAACACCGTATCAGGAAAAAATGTCATTCTTTTGTCCAATATATGATTGTTACGAAGTCCTTAGTGCGCAAAATAGGATCAGAATTCCTTTAAATGTAAGTAATAATGAATAAATAAATAAGGCTTTTATTCTCGACAAGGCGAGGAACGCCTTCACAGGCATGTTCATTTCGACATAACAATGAGTGAACCAAAATGTGCAAAAATCCGATATGTTTGCCGTAACAGTGTATGTTTGTGTAGCGGGGTATGTAAGTATGTATTTGTGTGTATGCAGCTGTGTAGCTTGTGCTTGTAATCGTGCTGCTCCATTCCTAAATGTTTGATATCGTCAGCAATGTGCAAGTAGAAGATTGGTGTCCATGAGTTGGAAAGGATTACACAGATATTCACGGTGCAGTGACTATTTTGTGTCGTCACGACCGCCACATCATAGTGCTGTTTAGCAGATATTTGTGGCTTTTAATAGAAAGTACGCTTACCAGGCGAAAATCCACAACACCCATAACACTGCCACCGAACTATTTGCTGGGACAGATTAAACCAGAACCACAGCTGGCACCACGAGGTTATTCGGCTATCCATCTAGGTACATTGGAACATTGTATTTAATGGGAATAAAAGCTCGAGCTTTACATGACCCATAGGGTAAAAAGAGTTCGGGTCGGGTCTAATGAAAGGCCAAGCAACCTTATAGCGAGTTGGACTCGCGTGTTAGCCGTATCTTCATCGGGCTTATGCGGCATTAAAACAGAATGCACGTCGGCTGAAAGCGTGACATCCCACCACGCCCTCCGAAAGGGCTTTGGTAAGGAAGTAGATAAAGAAAAAAGTAAATTCCATCCAGTAGAAGGTAGTTATATTAGGGAATATCGCTGTGTAACTCCATGGTCAAGTGTAAACTCCATGAAAGGCCATCGAAAAAGCCATTTGTTCGAGTGCCATTGAGGAGCAGCAAAGCTGTCCATGAAAGGCCATCAAAAAAGCTGTAGTCGAATGTAGGATCGGAATGTTCTTCCGGAAATTTAAGGCACCATACGCAATTGTTTGAGCGCCAGTAAGAATACAAACTGTGTCAGTGAAGGTAAGCACGACAGGATAATCTGTTTTGGAAGAAGGGGTCCATGCAAATATATTATTCTTGGTGATGAAGTTGTGATACTGTGAGCACGAGGCGAGCTAAACCCATTTGTTTAGACCCGGTAAAAGTGGCATCTGCAGTATGTCGAAAAGAACTCTATTGGGAACGATGAGTGGGTTCTTCAGAAAATGGATTGTTCTTCCTATCCAGGAGAAAGGAACAAATGTTCAAGCCAGCTTGCTATTTAGAATGTGTCAGCCAGTATTAGAGAATGAAGCTTCTTGCGTCGGCCGTGATATCTTTGGAAATCTCGGGAAAAATGTGCAACAAACAAGAGGCAGCCAAACAGAAAGACAGAAATGCATCCATGTGCACTATCGAAAGACTGATGGCATGCAACGGTGCCTAGCTGTGTGATACTCTGAAACCCATGTACTTTTATTTAGTATACATGATTTTCAGGTGCGTTCTTTACATCACGTCTCTGGTGTGGCCCAGACTGCAACTACTACGTTGGAAGAAGGTTCTGCACGCGCAAGGTCAAGCGACCGATATGACAAATCCAGTTTACAAAGTTAAGCAAATAACACGGTTGTTGGAGCGAAACAGATAAACAGATGATGGTGACAGCCGTCTGAATGCGTGAAGCAGCTTAAATGAAACTAAGGCCAACTAGATGGAGATGGAAAGCGGGTAGCAACCAGTTCGTAAAGCAACGTTCCAAGAGGAAAGGGCGATGCAGCGAATCAGCGAGGAACAGCTGCGTTCAAACAGAAGTGAGAGAAGTACTTAGTGCGAATAATGATGCTGAAGCGCTCATACTTCCATAGTCTGGAATCCGTCAGAATCTAAAGAAAACGGCCACAGGGAACAAAAACTGCCGTGCGTTGGAAGTCATTAGCCCGGGTACGGTCAGATTGATATAGGATGAATTAAACGCAAACTGCAGCGTCTAGGATGTAATCTCAGCAGTTCAACAACTAGACACAGCCAACAAATCCAGGATGCAACGCAAATGCGACTATGAGGTAAAGAGTAGATGCATATGAAGAGTGGTAAGGTGAGTATGCTGATAGAAGTGCTAGCTAAGAAACACTTAGCAATGATCCGGGTGCCGCCAGAAAACAGGAACGTTGTTGGGGCGGAGAAGAGCATCATCATCATCATCAACAGCAGTACATCAGCCATTTGAACTGATGCTTCGCTGCCATACAACCATGAGGACCTATGAAATAAAGAATAAGACGAGGGAGAGAAGGGGGACTTACCTGAAGACCTTAATGCCGTAAGCAAACATTCAGGGTCAAGGCGCCTACACCTTGTGTATACAACATTCCGTCACAAACAGCTGGCTATCGTGCAAAGATAAGGCGGCATCGGCGAGACAGCTTCGTTGCGGCTTTCACTGCCACGCGTCATAATCAGCCATTACTCCGCAGATAACTCAGCACCAAACATACGTTAAACAGACAATCCGATTAGGAGAAAGCAGCAGACGCGCCACTGGTGTCTACTGCGAGCCATGTCCTGCAAAGTCTCGAGCCAAGCACAAGGTGAGTCACGTGGACTCCAAACCGGAAGACGAGACGGACCAACGGCACCCAGTTTGGTCGTCAGTGACTTCATTTCCCGCTGCCAAGTCAACTTCTGTCCACCTCGAGCCTTGCGCCACCCTGCACCTGGTAGACTGAACAAGGCCCTCCTAGGTAAGCGGTGACCAGGCATACGTAGCACGTGCCCGCGCCCACGCAACTTATTCAGTGCTATCTGTTGTTCTAGGGAGCTAGCATGATTATCGCCACCTAGTACTCGCCTACGCACATCATCGTTGCGGACACGCTGGTGCCATCCGACACTGGCAATGCTTCGCAAACAACGATGCTCAAAGACTTGAAGGCGCCTCAGATCTTCAGACCGAAGGGGCCAAGTCTCACTACCATAGAGCAGAACGGCCCTCACTGTGGCCTTGTATACACGGCCTTTCAGACGGAGGGAGACTCCCTTCTGTCGCCAAAGATGACGCAGGTTCAAGAAGGCAGCTCTGGCCTTTGCAATGCGTGAGCTGACGTCAGTTTCTATGCGCCGATGCAGCTGCCAAGATAAGTGAATTGATCAACCACCTCGAGTTCCTCGTTATCAAGCGTCAAGGGGTCATCGAGTGGCTGGTGGTCCTGCAGCAACACTTTGCACTTTGAAGGTGCGAAGTGCATACCAAATAATGGGACCATTCTGGATGGGCTATTCAGGGTTGATTGTGCTTAGTTGTTTAGTTTTACAGAAATGGACACCATCCCATTTCAAACCCCCAACCTGGAGGACCAGGAGACTGAGTTTGTCTGACCTGTCACCATTGACCAACCTGGTAGGAGTAGCTCTCAAGATGCTCGGAGGCATCACCCAGTATAGCTCAATGTGTCAATGACGTACGCAAACCGTCGCACCACGTTAAGGTCCAGTCTCGTTGCGACGGGGCGGAGAAGAGCAAACGCACAAGTATACATTAGTGCGGCGCATTGATAGTAAGCCATACAATAGAGGTGGGAATAAAAGCGGACCGCGAAACAGAGAAGGCCAGATTCCGGATGAAGGAACCTATATGGATAAGGTAAAAATAAAACCGACTGGGATCTCGACCGAAGTGGAAGAGAGCGAATCCGCTGTCAAATTATGATCAGAAATAACACTGAGGACTGGGAGGAGTAGGAGTGCACAAGACGGTTCATATAAGACTAGGTTAGTCGGCGCACTGAGATTGGGTAGTACAATTATAGTGAAAACAAATATTGGGAGAGTCAGCGGAATTAGACGGGATATATATCAAGGTGGCTATATTCTATACAGGTGCTTAAGTCCTTCAAGGCTCAAAGTGATGGAGACCGATCAGACGACACTTGATTTGTCGATGCATTGAGATTGAATCGGACAGTTAGGATAAGAAGAAAATAGAGGGGATGGGCAGAAACAGGAAAGTAAGCGAGGGAAGGGGCTATATTATTAATAGGTGAGCAAGTCCAGCAGGCTTTCGAGTTGATAGCAACATGGCATTGAGGCCGCAGAGTCTAGACCGTTTGCAGCTCCATAGTCTGGAAGCGGTCAGAGAGACAGACTGGTCAGATAAGACTAGGTTAAAGCAGCGCACTGAGTGTTGGCTGTCCGATTGAAGAAGGATTTAGAACAAAGAGCGCAGCAAACAGGTGACAAGGTCGGGAAGGAAGTGCCGAGGCCGGGATGAAAAAAGGTTTGCTGCTAAAGTGTGGAGAGGCCAACGAGGCTCTTCTGTTAAGGGGTATACAGCGTTCAGTCTTCTGAACAATGGCCGGTAATGTCACAGTAGTCTGAAAGAAGTCGAAGAGCAGGAGACCGATCATACGAGACTGGACTAATCGGCGCATTGAGATTCAGTCGTACAGTTAAGGTGGGAAGACAAATAAAAAGGTCAGCAGAAATGAATAAATAAGAGAGGGAGGAGGCTATATTAATAAGGAGTGAGCAAGTCCAGCAGCCTCTCGAGATGATAGAAACATACCATTAAGTCGGCAGAGTCTGGACCTTTTGTAACTCGAAAGTCTGGAAGAAAAGTGAAGCAGACTGATCAGCTGATACTAGGTTAGTTCCAGGCACTGGGAGTTGGCAGTCTGAATGAAGAAATAAATTCAACGAGCGCGATAATGAGAAGAAGGGGTCGGGATAGAAAAAGGTTTACTGATGAAGTGTGCAAAAGTCAACGTGGCTCACTAGATAATGAAGACAAAGCGTTCGGTCTTCCGATCTGTCCTCGGACCTGAAATTTTCAGACTGTT